TCCCTCGCCCCTAACTGCCCCCCCAGGACCTCACCCCCATCCAATCCCCCATGTTCCTCACCCCCCCCCCGAACCTCTGCCCCATCCAACCGCTCCCTGTCCCCTGATGGCCCCCCGGAACCTCCTGCCCCTTATCCAACCCCCCCACTCCCCGCCCCTTTACCATGCCTCTCAGAGAAGCAGGACTGGCAGCTGCGCCATCCGGCTGGAGCCAGTCACACCACCATGCTGCCTGGCAGGAACTCGCAGCCCCGCCACCCAGAGTGCTGGTGGCAAGTGAGCTGAGGCTGCGGGGGAGGGAGCTAGCCTCCCCGGCCCGGAGCTCAAAGGCCAGGTAGGACTGTCCCACGGGCCCTAGTTTGCCCGCCTCTGCTTTAAGATCTGCTTGTCTCTATTTAAATGGAATATAGGCTTGGAATACTGTTTCACATTTACAAGAGAATTGAATGTAATACAAAAGAAAATAAGATCCAAAATATAGCTCAGAAATCTACTGCCACTGAAAGGCAACATTTGCTAGGTTACAGGTTGCATATTTATTAACAAATGGATTTTTTTCAAGTAGAACAGTGTCTTTATCTGTTTTTTTCCCCCAGTAGTTATTAATTCAAAGTAGCCCAGCAGATACTTGTTTTTAATGATATTTCTCTAATATCCTGTCTAGGACTAGCTATTTTTGTTCTTCCTTGGTATGGTGTTTGATTACACATCTTGTATAGGAATAGAATATTCATTCATCAGAGACACTCATGTCCCTGTAGTTAAGTTTTAAGTGCTTTTCTTTTCTAAAGAAGAATATCTTGTGCCGTTTGTTGAAACAAAAAATAAGCCTTTTTAACAGTGTTTTTTTTCCCTTATTACCGCAGAAATGTCAACTTACTTATAGGAATTATATGAAACCCAACATAGTCATGGTGGATGTAGGAAAGTGGCCAATATTTACCTTGCTTTCACCTCAAGAAATAGCATCTATTCGGAAAGCATGTGTATTTGGCACATCGGCCAATGAAGCTATATACATAACCCATAATGATGAGGTAAGTGTATAAGGAAATGAAATACCTGATCTGTTTTGGGATGTAATTCTAACCCCTTTGAATGCCTGTAAATAAGCAGGCTACAAAAGACACTGCATGAAACTGTGTCCCAGTCTGTGAATGAATGTGGTGGGAATGAATTGCAAATATTTGAAATCTTGCATCGGGACATAACTGGGAAGAGAGTAAAAGGATTCACAATAAAACACTCGTAATGAAAATAATTTTCGTTAATATTAATGTCATAGATTAGTAAAGATGAAAAAATAAAAACTTGCTACATAAACGGAGTCTCTTTACATTTCATTTCACTTGGACAACTGAACTAGACTGGTCAGTTTCACTTCTTGGATCTCTTACACTAGCGCACATTTAAATATAACCGGACAATTATTATGACAAATGTTAGAACTTATTATATCCAATAGTGATATAAAGGATAGCAGCTGTAATAAAAATGAATCTCCAGTCCAGGATATGCCCCCTTTAGAGGTATCCGTTTAAATTTAAGTAACTTTTTTCTGAATCAAAATAGAATTGTCACAGCTTTTTTATGGAAAGAGAAGTAGTGCATTGCCCTAAATAAGCCTAGGCACCCAAAAGGGGGAGATATTTGGATGCCTGCCTTTAAAGCGTACAAAACACACAATAAAAACATTTCCGTAAACTTTTAAAGACCTATGATTTCAGTAGAATTATTTCAATTAGGGTTCGTAAACCTTCCTTCTTTGTGTATTAAACAAAAATCTAAATTTTGAATCTAGAACTAGTTGTAGAACCCTTTGAACCAGCAATAAATTTCCATGGATGAAATCTTTGCCCCATTGAAGTTGATGGCAAAACTCCCATTCATTTCACTAGGGCCAGTTTTCACCCTATATATCTATATTTCTGTCTATCTCCCTCTCCATAAATATGAATCTAAATAGTTTAAAATGCAAACTGTTTCTTTTTCCCCCCAGGTGTTTGTGTTTGGACTAAACTGTAGTAATTGTTTGGGGACTGGAGATAATCAAAGCACAATAGTACCAAAGAAATTAGAAGCCTTATGTGGAAAGAAGATTAACAATCTCAGTTATGGAAGTGGACCACATGTTATACTTAGCACTGAAGGTAGAAAACATTTAGTATGTGAAATAATCAGTTACATATTCTATCAGGGTTAACCAAGAATGGAAATGGAGATATGTTGGTAGATTGGCCAAGTAGCAATGTGCTGGGTTTGTGTTGCTCTTCTGGAAATTCTGATCCTGGGTCAACAAAGTTCAAAGGCCAGATCTCTCAACTTACATAGGTCATAGCTTTGCTGAAGTCACTTTACACTAGCTGAGGAACTGGCCCAAAGCATACCATGATGGTAACATGCTTAGTCTTCCCTCTGGGATGGAGGAGCTATGTAAATTACTAACTATCAGAACTCAATGATCAGATAACATTTTCCAAACCTGGTGGCCATCAGAATCAAATAGTATGTTCTAGTTTAGTGGCCTTCTAGCCAACCAACTTTTACAAAAGGAAGAACGCAGGTTATTTCTCAACACTGGGTGGGTAGTAAACTGTGGCAAGGGAATGAATGCATTTTACTTTTTGAACATAAAATTGGAAACCAGACTCCAACATGAAGTTGTAAAGTTCATTGGCTGACTAGCGAGGCAGTGCTGGTTAAAAGGGTCTGGACTTAATGGCTTCAAACCCTAACATTAAACTTTTCTTTGTTTTTAAATAGTTGTTTTGAGTTAAATTTGTCATAGTCTATTCTTATGTGCTTGTAGCATGTGGCTTCAAGCTTCTGAAATATGAATAAAATGACAGACTGCTCACTCTCTCCTCTAAATTGTTTTCCTGGTTCCTTTATTTAATGTTGGATTATGAGCACATTGAAACACCTTGCTCAGTTTTTTTTTCCTGGGAAGGGGATATTAAAAAATAATTAACATCAAAATTAGTTAATATGGACTCACTGGACAAAGCCTTCTTTGCCTTGAATTGACAAGAGGCAAGATAGAATCTGTTTAAAGGAAGTTCGGGGAAGGCAGAAAGTCAGAGAAGAGCAGAGAGGTTGCTTGAGAAATTCTCAAGGTTGAAGAATGCTGAGCCCAAGGAAGGGAAGGAAACTAAATGGAGTTCAGGAAATGTCCACTCAAAGTTGCTTCCTATTTGGCTTCCCTTATAGAATAGTGAATTCATATAGAAAGCTGGTTTGGTTTGGGGAAAATAGCTTTTGTCTGTATTGTCTGATCAGACAGCTGACATCAGTTTTAAATAGTTAATGATATTTACTGCCAATTACAGTTGGGTGCGGGAGGGAAGCATTTTAATTCTGCAATAAGGTTAGTGAAACCATTTGTTAATGTCCTCCATTATATTCATGTGCCACCATTTATCTCTCTCAAATAACCCAGAGCTCATGCTATGTTATAGTTATGAATAGTTAGACTTGAGAATGAAGGCTAAAAACTGTACAAAGAAAAAAACTGTAGAACAATTACTACACTAGTCTCACCACTTAGTTATTCTACTCTCACTTTCACTTATAGCTCTGTACTTATGCTTTTATAGAAGTTAAAGATAATAGTGTTTGAATCAATTAACATCTCAATTGGTGGGGGTGGTATCATAAAAATGCATATTTTGTGCAGATGGTGAAGTTTATGCTTGGGGACATAATGGATACAGCCAGCTTGGGAATGGAACAACCAATCAGGGCATTACTCCTATTCAAGTCTGTACCAACCTGCTAATTAAGAGGGTGATTGAAGTAGCTTGTGGCTCTCATCATTCTATGGCCCTATCATCTGATGGAGATGTAAGTCTTATATTTTCTTATTTAACTTTTTCAATAAACTTGGAGTTCCTGAAAGGAATCAGATTGATAGCTTTGGAGACTGAAGTCCTTTCTATCCACAGTACAGGTACAAAGTAACCTTACCCATGCTGTCCTACCAATGTGCTTCAAACCCACGGCACCTTCTCTCTAGCGGTGGGAGGGATAGCTCATTCTCCAGGCCAATTTTAATTCTTCTTCCCTACTGCGATTTGAAAATTGTGGCCAGTGAGTATTCTTGTGGGTTTTTTGTGCATTGGACACCTATCAATAAGTCTGAAACTGGAAAGAACACTGCATCTAAAAAGCAATGTAATTTGTATTCCCTATCTGTATAATAGAGAATTGTACCAGAAATGGTAGAATCTTCCAAAAGATACAAATTTAAAGTTGCTCTCTGTGTGCACTGTTCTAGCACTGACACGGATGGGTCAGTCTGTGGAAGTGTTTTGGTTCTCTTTAATACTGTATCTGATTGCTGCATTATTCATTATTGTGGAAGTATTCTGCTCTATCCACCTTCACATACATTGAGAGGGATTGGGCATAGTTGGTTTTATATCAAAGTTCTGCTTTATGCTACATATGTTGTAGAAAATATATCCCTGCAGAAATGAGTGGAGTCAGGCTTGATTTGTCCATGTCTAGTTACCTGGAAAGTGTAAATCACAAATTTCTTTCAGTACTACTGACTGGTCAATGTTTCCTTTTCAAATGAGCGTAAAAATGGTATTTTTAGAATGCGAGTAATCAGCCTGATCTAATGCTGTTTTAAGGCTTCATCTGAATTGTTTGATTCTAAAATCAGTTTAAAATAGTTACGATGAGGAATTAAAAATAGGCATAATTCTGTCTATGTACTGGGCCCCCAGAACCCATAGTATCTGAGCACCTCCATATCCTGTTCTAATACAAAATCATACTACTGCCATTATGACACACAGTAGCACATCAATGTCTGTAATGAGGGGGAGGGAAAGTAGATTCAGAAGCTAGTTTTTTGCTGATAATGTGCTGCTTTTGAGAGGAGCTTGTGCTTAGGAAAGATCTTGAGATTTTTCATTTCTTTGCCTTGCATAGGGCATGAAATTTGGAAGTTTAGTGCACCTAGTTAGGCAGCAGTGATATGGTCCAAACAAGATAAGATGAGAAATAGGAGAAAGGGTGTTCTACAGGGAAGAATGAGACCTGTAATGCATATTTTGAATATAATGTATATTTAAACTGTACTTAATTACAGTGCTAACCTCCTGAAATTTAAACATTTAGTTTGACCTATATTATTATGCATTCTCTTGGTGTTTGACTGAGGCTTTGTCGTTACAAGACATATAACCCTGATTGTACAAAACATAAGGGAATGTGTTATGGAATAGTATTTACAGAAAGAATTGGCTGCAAAAGTAAATGACTTTAATCTCTGGAATTTCAGAATGTCTTTGAAGTGTCACATGACACTGTTCTTGTGGCATTAAATGATGAGCTCTAGAGTAGATAAAGGTAGGTGAAGGGCAAACAAACTATCAGCAATTGCCAAATTGGGAGAACTGTTGAACAGATGAATAGAGGCAGCTAGTTCATTTCATGGTTTCAAGAGCAGAAGCTGTTATCACAGGGGGCTGTCTTATATGGGGAAACAGTGGCTTAAATTTCACATTCCTGTGGTGGTTTGCTAGGAGGGGAGAAAATATGCTTAAGTTTACTTGCAATTTAACCTCTAGGAACCTTTAAATTTAGAGGCTCACTCTTCCATTATAATTCTGAAAAATAAAGCTGGTAAATCTTCTTTGAAAATGTCTTCATTATAGCTTAACACATAGAGGATGTTAGTTATACAAAGGATACATTTAATACAGTAGAATCTCAGAGTTACGAACACCAGAGTTGTGAACTGATTGGTAACCACACACCTCAATGCAATCAGGCAGCAGCAAAGACCAAAAAAAAAAGCAAATACAGTACTGTGTTAAACATAAACTAGTAGAAAAATAAAAGGAAAGTTTAAACAAAAAGATTGGACAAGGTAAGGAAACTTTCTGTGCTTGTTTCATTTCAATTAGAATCATAGAAGATTAGGATTGGAAGAGACCTCAGGAGGTCATCTAGTCCAACCCCCTGCTCAAAACAGGACCAACACCAACTAAATCATCCCAGCTAGGGCTTTGTCAAGCCAGGCCTTAAAAACCTCTAAGGATGGAGATTCCACCCTAGGTAACCCGTTCCAGTGCTTCACCACCCTCCTAGTGAAAAAGTGTTTCCTAATATCCAACCTAGACCTCCCCCATACTGCAACTTGAGACTATTGCTCCTTATTCTGTCATCTGCCACCACTGAGAACAGC